TGAGAGGGAAAAATTACCTTTCAAACACATCATAAAGTCTAGTGCAAACAACTGCCCATGCTACCAGTTACTTTGTAGATGCATCCCATATCATACTTACTGTTTATCAATCAATTTTGCATCTTTCCGTATATGTCAAGATCAAAAAGTACCATAAACCAGAATTTAAGGTAAGGAACACTGTTTACATAACCCTTTTAGCAAAAGGTATTGCGTTTTTTTTTTTTCAACAAATCGATCGTATCCCACTAAGGCAGGGTGACCTAAAAGAAAAACTGAAGTTTTTAATGTTTTAGTAGACTCACATTAACCCTCTCCAAGCATTTCCAGATCAATAAGCAATGACAACTACAATGTAAAGCATGAAAAATATTACTCACGAAATCGTAATGACACGATTGCAAACAAACCATACCACGGGCGGGATTTGAACCTGCGGTCAGAGAGTCGGTCTGGAGTTTTGAGACTCTCTGACCACAGGTTCAAATCCCACCCATGGTATGGTATGAAAAATATTTCTAAGGAAATAGGAAACTATAAAACTTAAGTTTCTAAACTATCGTATCTGAGTGCTTCTGCGAAGAGAGTGATTATGTATGAGTGATGAATAAGTTTTTTCTTTCTGTTTGGGTCATCCTGCCTTGGTGGGAGGTGGCCGATGTGTTAAAAAAGAAAAAAAGTAACGAGTGTATTGTATATGCATTTTATTGCTCTAGGGCACTTTAAATGCCTAATACATTATGTGCAGGTGGGTTGAAAAGATGGGCTACCATACCTACCACATTTGACTTACTACAAATACTATTCACCTTGCACCCTATATTGAGACCATTAAGACTACAAATATTTTAAGGTAATTAATGAATGTTATAGGTAGTAGGTTGGTAGACAGCAACAGCCCAGGGAGGTACTACCGTCCTGCCAAGCGAGTGTAAAATGAAAGCCTGTAATTGTTTTACATGATGGTAGGATTGCTGGTGTCCATTTTTCTGTCTTGTAAACATGCAAGATTTCAGGTACGTCTAGCTATTTCTTCTTACACTTAGGTCACACTACACATACATGTACAAGCATATATATATATATATATGTACACACCCCTCTGCGTTTTCTTCTATTTTCTTACTAGTTCTTGTTCTTGTTTATTTCCTGTTCTCTCCATGGGGAAGTGGAACAGAATTCTTCCTCCGTAAGCCATGCGTGTTGTACGAGGCGACTAAAATGCCGGGAGCAAGGGGCTAGTAACCCCTTCTCCTGTATATATTGCTAAATGTAAAAGGAGAAGCTTTCGTTTTTGCTTTTGGGCCACCCTGCCTTGGTGGGATATGGCCTGTGTGTTGAAAGAAAGAAGAATTAATGAATGTACCCTATATGCATTTTATCGCTCTAGGGTGCTTTAAATGTCGTAGTATATTACGTGTGGGTGGGTTGGCCAGGTGAGCTACCATATCTACCACACATGACTTACAATAAACACTACTAACTTCTCACTCTACATTAAGACTACCAATATTGTGAGGTAAGTAATGAGTGTGTATTTTACTTTTTTATTGTCTTTTAATGCTTAGTTCTATTGCTAACTTAATGTGTTAGAGTAAACTTATTATTTGACCTTCATAAGTGGAAACAAGTGGCATTCTGCTTTCCAGCGGTAGCCTAGAACCTAACCTGCCGTATAAGTGGGGGCCCTACTGTGCTCTAATGTGTCTTGCACAACACCATATGAAAAAATAATTAGGCAAGCTCTTTTTAACACAAGAATAAAAGGCTCAAAAAGAATATTTGTATTTCATTAAGAAATACCATTACCATTGTTTCCCATTGCTATAATTAATAACCTTCAGAGAGTTGTTAAATATTTTTGCATACAGTTCTTCAAAAATAACATCAATAAATGTGCTAGATGTACAGTAAAGCTGATTTCAGTGGGTTCAAAGACCACTCATAGACAACTAAACGTCAAAGCACATTAATGCTATATTCCAAAACAACAAGTTTATAGCACATCATGGCAGCAACATGTCTGGTTCTCACAGGAAAAGCTTGTGCAAACAGTAAGCCACAAAAAATAAAAAAAAAAAAAAAAAAATAATAAAAGGAAGATTTTTTTACTATTCAGTTATAGTATATGTAAAAATAGATTATAAAAACTAACAAGATTTAACAAATACTTTATAATCAACTATGATTTCCAAACAGCATTTTTGGATACAGTATGTTTAAAAAAGAAATACCATTCACTACTGGAGAATAAAGTCACATTATGAATGAAAATGTTTAGCATTTCATTTCTATATTAAATACAATCATAGGCTATACTGAACATATGAAAAGACTAAATTTTTTAACTTTTAGAAGTATTAGTTATTCATTAACCTAGGCAAACAAAAGTGTTGTATAATGTGAACCCAAACATGTGCTGCAGCATAATGTGCAAAATACATACCTCTCTAGACTGGCACGCTGACTCTGCTACAGATCTCCTACATATGGGAAAGCAAAGGGTTCATTGGCAGGTTTTTGCAAAGTCTGAGAGACATTTTAATCACCAAATAAGTGTGAGCATTGAAGATGCCCTAAATGTTACTTTAGAATGTATAATAAACTAAAAATGCAAACAAATTTATGAGTTTACTTGAGTACAAACAAACTCATTTGGTGATTAAATATCCTGGTCTTAGATGCTACTGACTTGAAACTTTCTAAATCTTACCCAGGACAAAACATAAGTTTACACTACATAAAGGAAAGGGAAAAAGGTCACCCTCTGGTTAATTTTTATAATTTTTTGTGTGACAGAGATTTAGAAAGCTTAGTAACTAGGCATTTTATTTATGGTTCAAAACTTTATTGTTAAAAATCTATACTAATTGTAAATGCAAAAATATGGAAAAAGGTGAGTCTAATTGCTACAATGAAACTGGTATTGTTTTTTGCAACATTGCACAGTAAAAATACTAATGTACTTCTAAATGTACCTAACCTATGCCATCTGATTCTGAAGGCATATCTGTGAAACTGTGTAACTTGCATTTAATACCTTGTCACAAAAGGTTTCAAGAATAATTCAAAGGTGACTAGCAGGGTGGTTGGCTATATGAAATACTGCAGCTATACACAGGCATGGCAACTAAGAACTGAGAATTCAATGTTTCCCTATAATTACAAAATATACATAATGGTCAAGTTCCATTAATATGTGGAAAATTCACTGTAGTACAAAACAACATTAATTAAATATGTTAGCCACTTTCTGAAGAAATAATAAGATTTAGGACTATTATGATGGAAATTTTGTGTTACATAGCCAGTGGTCAAACAAATCAGAATATTTTGCATGAAAACTGACTTAGCATCTTAACCTAACCATGCCAATTAACATGCCAGTAGAAAGGATATTCTCAATAGGTTGTGACTGAAATGTGGCCAATTCCTAATTCCATGTGAAAGTAACCAGTTGATGGCACCATATAGTTTAAAAAATAAGAGGGAAGGAGGTGCAGGAAGGCTAGTTATCCATAATTATACATTCCTGTGTGTTTAACCTAATCAGACTGTATTTGATTACATTAGTGATTGACAGTAAAGTGTGTAAATGTTATTAAATGGAAAAGTTGTGTAGTAAAGGTACAATCTTGACTGCAGTGCAGCCCAGAAAGTTTCTGTTTAGGGTTTATAGGGACATCATACTTCATTCAGTATTGACCTTTCACACCAGAAGCATGATGCCATCACAGTTCAATTGGTCTTCCAAACTGCAACATTCCTACTCCAGCAAATGCAAAGTTAAAAAGATGGGGAAGGGGGCCAGAAGACCAGACATGGAGTACAGACTTGAGAAGGACATGGGAGTAAGAACAATGCCTAGCATATCACCAGAGGCTTAAGATTAACCAAATAACCTATGCAGCTAATGCTCAACTGGAAAATCTGAGTACTCCTCAGGAATCTCAACAAAGAATTATTCTGGGTGCTTTATAAAACATGTCAGGCCCATCTTGGAGTATGCAGCACCAGGCAAGTACATATAGGTGAAAATGTAGGCACTGTACTTCCCACTTCCAGGACTCAAGTTTCCTTGAATTGCCTCATAAATGTTACCTTGCCCACCCTCCAAAAGTATGTCACTTGCCTCCACCTACTCCCATCTAATGTGTTTACACAAGCCTATTGGATGTTCAAGATCCTAGCACTCAAAACCTTGTTTATCCCCTCCCTCCTTTCACCCAGGACTTATACACCCTCCCAGTCACTCTTTTGCTCATTCTCTCTAGATGTTCAAATCAGCATCTGACATATACTTTTTTCTCACCCCACATCTTCTAATCACTGGACCAAATTCTCTGCATAATATTCACATCACACATTGGCCTCAAATACATTCATCTTTAGTATGTATATTTGATATAGGCATCAATATGTTTGCTAAAATCTGATAAGGAAATGTGGCTTATTTTTAGTGATGTTGATGACAGATGGTGGTGGTGGTAGGGGATTGTGGTTGTGATGGTGCATGATAGTGCCTTCCACACATTTACAGATCAACAAACAACAGTGACAGGTATGAGACATTCATATTTTGATGAATTACAGTATTAAAAAAAATTAACTGTTTAACTTTTTTGGAGGTGTCAGGAAAGCATTACTAATTTTGCCATATGTTACTGTACTAAATATTAGGACCCCAAGACATTATCAACAACTTAGATAATTTAAGAAAAAAACTATCATTAGTAAACTTCAGAATTTGACTAAATAAATACCTTTGCTAACAAAATGTTATCAATACCTTACAATCATATTTACATATATGAAACTGGCATTGCTAACTAAAAGATGTGAAAAAAATTTACTTCTAATTCTGTTTACTAAGAAATTAACATGTAAATTTAAGTCGACTACACTTGCAGTATATGTAATTATAAGAGGAAACCATATGTATTCTCAGTCATCAATTAGGGTACTAAGCATTATAAATGACAGGACAATGAAATCTATACCTGAGGTATTTGATGGTGTAGATTTTAACTGGGTAGAAGAGTCACTACTTTCAGTTGACTCTGAAGATGGTGAGCAACACGAAAATGAAGAGGAGTCGACTGTTATTGTGCTTCTGCGAAAAATAAAAACAGCTTTAAACATGAGTATTCAGTATTTAAGTTGCATAATTAATTCAGTTGCCTACCTCTGTGTTCTTGTAGTTAGTGAATATTCTTCCAAAGAATGCAGCATGGGTTTTAACTGAACTTTCTAAACATTAGTTTTTACAGAAATATACAGTGGAACCTCAGCTGTCAAATTTAATTCGTTCCAGATGTCAACCAAGGCAATTTTTCCCATAAAGAATAATGTTAATAGAATTAATCCGTTCCAGATCGCAAATGATGATATTATAATTTATTAAAAATGTACTAAATACTAGATAAAACTGTAAAAAATGAATACTAAAAGAAACTTTAATTGAAATACTGTACAGTAAATGAAAATTTAACTGTCTCTTACCTATCAAAGGAGATCTAATGCCATACTAGAAGCAGGAGGTGGAGAGGAGGGGTATGTTACTACTTGGAAGGAGAGTCACTTTGTATTAATATGTCAGGCAACTGTCCTTCTGGCATTGTTTCTCTTCTTCGTCTCTTTTCACCATTAACACCTTGTTCTGGCTCAATGGTTCTTTGTCTAAAAACCTGTCCAGTGAGGTTTATTTCAGTTTCCATTTATAACACTTGTCTAAATTGAGACATTACACTGTCATTGAACATGTTAGAGAGACGGATGGTCACTGCTTTGTCTGGATGGTATTTTTCAGCAAATTACTGCACTTCATGCCATTCAGCACACATTTCCTTGACAAGTGCAATAGGCACATCATCACTTCCCTCCTCTTCCTCTGATGACAGTTCCTCCACTGCAATCTGTTGCTGCTCCTACTTAAGGTCTACAAGTTCTATGCTTCACCACCAACTCCTCCACATCATCTTCAGTCACCTTTAGACCCAAGGTCTTTCCCAGGGACATAATATCCTCTATCGGCTCAGGCTCTTCTTCAAAGCCTTCAAAATCCCCAGCTGCCACAGTCAGGCCATAATTTCTTTCATGCTGAATGTGAGGATATTGAAAAGCCCTTCCAGAATTCCCTAAGGGTTAAATTTATTTCTGAAGTTATTTCAAAGCACCTTTCAAAAAAGTGCTTTGGTGAAGAGTTTCTTGAAGTTAGAAATGACCTGCTGTGAGCATGTGACCCAAGCCATTAGCATTGTCAGTCGACAGCCAAGAGAATGTATGAAACCCAAGACATTTTTTCTCGAATTCCTCATTTGAAAACAAGTTAGTTTGACAAGTAATGCAGTCGACAACTGAGGTTCCACTGTATAACTAAAATACACAAGGTAAGAGACTATTAGAATTCTTCCTCCAGAGCCATGCATGTTGTAAGAGGTGACTAAAATGCTGGGAGCAAGGGGCTAGTAACCCCTTCTCCTGTATACATTACTAAAGTTAAAAAGAGAAACTTTTGTTTTTCCTTTTGGGCCACCCTGCTTCAGTGGGATACAGCCAATTTGCTGAAAGAAGAAGATTTCAAGGTACCTTTCAAAAAAGTTTAGATTTAGAAAGGATATAGGAAAGTACTGGTTTGGAAATAGGATAGTCGATGAGTGGAATGGTCTGCCTAATAAGGTTATCGAAGCTAAAACCTTGGGTAGTTTCAAATTTAGGTTGGATAAATACATGAGCGAGAGGGGACTTGTACATGAGTAAATAGAAGTATCAAAGCTTATTGCTTGGGTAGCATTTATTCTGTTAGTCTGTTGGAATTGTTAAGGACCTGCCTAGTAGGGGCCAACAGGCCTACTGCAGTGTTCCTTCTTTCACAATATCCTCTATCGGCTGAGGCTCATCTTCACAGCCTTCAAAATCCCAGGCTGCCACAAAGTCAGGCCACAATTTCTTTCATGCTGACTGCATGGTCTTGGAAGACACATTCCTCCAGGCTTTGTGAGGATATTGAAATGGTCCTTCTAGAACTCCCTGAGGGTTAAATTTATATCCAAACTTATTTCAAAGTACCTTTCAAAAAAGTGCTTTGGTGTAGAGCTTCTTGAAGTTAGAAATGACCTGCTCTGAGCACATGACCCAAGTCATTCGTGTTGTCAGTCAACAACCAAGAGAATGTACAAAAACCAGGACATTTTTTCTTGAATTTCTCGTTTAAAGACTAATTTGTTTGACTAGTAATGCAGTCGACAACCGAAGTTCCACTGTATAACTAAAATATATGAGGTAAGAGACTGTTAGAATTCTTCCTCCATAAGCCATGCGTGTTGAAAGAGCTGATTAAAATGCCAGGAGCAAGGGGCTAGTAACCTCTTCTCCTAAATTTAAAAGGAGAAACTTTCGTTTTCCCTTTTGGGCCACCCTGCCTCGGTGGGATATGGCCAGCTTGTTGAAAGAAGAAGAGATGGTTAGAGCAAATTAAACTTGTTTAACTTTTTGTACTAAAAATTTTTTAAATTTTCACTTTGTCTCATATACACAATATCTGGTTAATCTATCTGTTAATAGCTCCTGCAAGATATAAGATATAAGTGACTATTGGCAGAAAGGTGGGCTAGTGCAAAGATGAGTAGTGAGGGGGTTGAAGAGGGTTGGAATAGTTTTAAAAATGCAGTATTAGAATGTGGGGCAGAAGTTTGTGGTCATAGGAGGGTGGGGGCAGGAGGAAAGACGAGTGATTGGTGGAATGAAGAAGTAAAGGGTGTGATAAAAGAGAAAAAGGTAGCTTACGAGAGGTTTTTACAAAGTAGAAGTGTTATAAAAAGAGCAGAGTATATGGAGAGTAAAAGAAAGGTGAAGAGAGTGGTGAGAGAGTGCAAAAGGAGAGCAGATGAAAGAGTGGGAGAGGCACTGTCAAGAAATTTTAATGAAAATAAGAAAAATTTTTGGAGTGAGTTAAACAAGTTAAGAAAGCCTAGGGAAAGTATGGATTTGTCAGTTAAAAACAGAGTAGGGGAGTTAGTAGATGGGGAGAGGGAGGTATTAGGTAGATGGAGAGAATATTTTGAGGAACTTTTAAATGTTGAGGAAGAAAGGGAGGTGGTAATTTCATGCACTGGCCAGGGAGGTATATCATCTTTTAGGAGTGAAGAAGAGCAGAATGTAAGTGTGGTGGAGGTACGTGAGGTATTACGTAGAATGAAAGGGGGTAAAGCACCTGGAATTGATGGGATCATGACAGAAATGTTAAAAGCAGGGGGGGATATAGTGTTGGAGTGGTTGGTACTTTTGTTTAATAAATGTATGAAAGAGGGGAAGGTACCTAGGGATTGGCAGAGAGCATGTATAGTCCCTTTATATAAAGGGAAAGGGGACAAAAGAGATTGTAAAAATTATAGAGGAATAAGTTTACTGAGTATACCAGGAAAAGTATACGGTAGGGTTATAATTGAAAGAATTAGAGGTAAGACGGAATGTAGAATTGCGGATGAGCAAGGAGGCTTCAGAGTGGGTAGGGGATGTGTAGATCAAGTGTTTACATTGAAGCATATATGTGAACAGTATTTAGATAAAGGTAGGGAAGTTTTTATTGCATTTATGGATTTAGAAAAGGCATATGATAGAGTGGATAGAGGAGCAATGTGGCAGATGTTGCAAGTATATGGAATAGGTGGTAAGTTACTAAATGCTGTAAAGAGCTTTTATGAGGATAGTGAGGCTCAGGTTAGGGTATGTAGAAGAGAGGGAGAATATTTCCCGGTAAAAGTAGGTCTTAGACAGGGATGTGTAATGTCACCATGGTTGTTTAATATATTTATAGATGGGGTTGTAAAAGAAGTAAATGCTAGGGTGTTTGGGAGAGGGGTGGGATTAAATTATGGGGAATCAAATTCAAAATGGGAACTGACAGTTACTTTTTGCTGATGATACTGTGCTTATGGGAGATTCTAAAGAAAAATTGCAAAGGTTAGTGGATGAGTTTGAGAATGTGTGTAAAGGAAGAAAGTTGAAAGTGAACATAGAAAAGAGTAAGGTGATAAGGGTATCAAATGATTTAGATAAAGAAAAATTGGATATCAAATTGGGGAGGAGTATGGAAGAAGTGAATGTTTTCAGATACTTGGGAGTTGACGTGTCGGCGGATGGATGTATGAAGGATGAGGTTAATCATAGAATTGATGAGGGAAAAAAGGTGAGTGGTGCATTGAGTTATATATGGAGTCAAAAAACATTATCTATGGAGGCAAAGAAGGGAATGTATGAAAGTATAGTAATATCAACACTCTTATATGGATGTGAAGCTTGGGTGGTAAATGCAGCAGCGAGGAGACGGTTGGAGGCAGTGGAGATGTCCTGTCTAAGGGCAATGTGTGGTGTAAATATTATGCAGAAAATTCGGAGTGTGGAAATTAGGAGAAGGTGTGGAGTTAATAAAAGCATTAGTCAGAGGGCAGAAGAGGGGTTGTTGAGGTGGTTTGGTCGTTTAGAGAGAATGGATCAAAGTAGAATGACATGGAAAGCATATAAATCTATAGGGGAAGGAAAGAGGGGTAGGGGTCGTCCTCGAAAGGGTTGGAAAGAGGGGGTAAAGGAGGTTTTGTGGGCGAGGGGCTTGGACTTCCAGCAAGCGTGCACGAGCGTGTTAGATAGGAGTGAATGGAGACGAATGATACTTGGGACCTGACGATCTGTTGGAGTGTGAGCAGGGTAATATTTAGTGAAGGGATTCAGGGAAACCGGTTATTTTCATATAGTCGGACTTGAGTCCTGGAAATGGGAAGTACAATGCCTGCACTTTAAAGGAGGGGTTTGGGATATTGGCAGTTTGGAGGGATATGTTGTGTATCTTTATACGTATATGCTTCTAAGCTGTTGTATCCTGAGCACCTCTGCAAAAGCAGTGATAATGTGTGAGTGTGGTGAAAGTGTTGAATGATGATGAAAGTATTTTCTTTTGGGGGATTTTCTTTCTTTTTTTTTGGGTAACCCTGCCTCGGTGGGAGACGACCGACTTGTTAAAAAAAAAAAAAAAAAAAAAAAAAAAAAAAAAAAAAAAATCTACACAACAAGAATCTGTACCTCATAGAGGACGTTGATTGTGAGCTGGAGGTTCTTGATGCTCCAGCTGACTCTGAAATTTCATAAATTGACGCCTCCTCCTCTGAAGGCTCTGGTGTTAACCGGAAAAAACACAGGGAGGTGGCTGATCTTTGCTTACTTCTGTAAGAGTCAACACATACATGCAAATATAATATATAAAGCTGTTTTTAATTGGAAGAAGAGGAGGAAAAGGAAAGGGGGGGGAACAGGGAATGAGGGCTGAATAGGAGGGATATGGATGGATGCAGAAAGAGCAGGATTTAATGAGGGAATGATCAGGAGAACAAAAGAAGAAACATGACTAAGAGTCAGATGACTCATGAAGAGGCAGAAGAAAATGCACAGAAAGACATTGCTGCCAATGCTTTAATCTTTAAGCTAATTACTTTTGAACATTTCATATTGTTGATAAGTGAGGAGGGAACACACTTATTGAAAGGTAAAAGCAAATTGAAAGTAAATAATGTTGAATATATTTATACAGATAATTCGTATTGGGGAAATTAAGAGGTGTGGAGCTACTAAAAGTATTAGTCAGAGGGCTGAAGAGGGGCTGTTGAGGTGGTTTGGTCATTTAGCGAGAATGGAACAAAGCAGAATGTATGTATGTATGTATGTGTGAGTGTGCGTGTCCCCCCCCCCCCCGAAAATGTTGGAGGGAGGGGGGTAAAGGTTTTGTGGGCGAGGGGCTCGGACTTCCAGCATGTGTGTGTGAGCGTGTTAGATAGGAGAGAATGGAGACAAATGGTTTTTTGGGACCTGACAAGCTGTTGAAGTGTGAACAGGGTAATATTTTGTGAAGGGATTCAAGGAAACCGGTTAGCTGGACTTGATTTCTGGAAATGGGAAGTACAATGCCTGCACTAAAGGAGGGGTTTAGGACTGGCAGTTTGAAGGGACATCTAAACTATCATATCTGAGTGCCACTGCAAAGACAGTGATTATGTATGAGTGATGGTGAAAGTGTTGAATGATGAAAGTTTTTTTTTCTTTCTTTTTGGGTCACCCTGCCTTGGTGGGAAATGGTCGACATGTTAAAAAAAAAAAAAAGATTTAAAGTGACACCAGTAAATCTGAACTTCCATACTTATCAGTAATATAGGATACTAGAAGGAACAGCAAAAACAATCACAATGTCAAAGAAAGAAGTAAAGTGACAAGATGCTTCATGGTAATGATTGAAAATTTAGACAGTTACTCAGATCAACATAGTGCCTGTAATCTGGAGACATGGGGATGTCAGCATACTTCCAGAAGAGCTGACTGTGAAGTCAGCATACTTCTGGAAGGAAGTGTTTTCTTCTCTGGGTTACTCTACCTTTATGGGAGATGACCACTGAGGTTAAATTAATAAAAAATAAGAAACCATTTATTTACATATATAACATCACAACCTAGGTAGTAGGATGGTAGACAACAACTACCCAGGGAGGTACTACCGTCCTGCCAAATGAGTGTAAAACGTAAGCCTGTAATTGTTTTACATGATGGTAGGATTGCTGGTGTCTTTTTCTGTCTCATAAACATGCAAGAGTTCAGGTACGTCTTGCTACTTCTACTTAAACTTAGGTCACACTATATATGAATATACATACAAGCATATACAGTGGAACCTCCACTCACGAGTTTAATCCGTTCTGTGACCTTGCTCGCATCTGGATTTGCTTGTTTGCAGAGTCAATTTTCCACATTTAAATTAATTGAAATGTAATTAGTCCGTTCCGGTGGAATTCTGTACTTCAATAATTTCCCCTAATATCAATTCAATGGCTTATTTATCTATCACAATTCATCTAATATGACATAATAAACAATATAGATAAAATATGTCATTCATGTAGTGGTATCGTCGGTGGGCGAGAGTTTGTCTGGAGACTGGACAAAATACTCCTTGAATAATTTCGCTAATATCATTTATATGGATTATTTATCTATCACAATTTATCTAATATGACATAATAAACATTATAAATAACATAGAAACCTGATATATACTCTAGAATGAATAAAATATGTCATTATGTAACTGGTGAAGGCGGCCAGAACCGCTCCCGCTTTGTTGTGGTAAACACTGCCATCTAGTGACCACCTTTTGAAGCCATCTATTATTATAATTATTATTATATAGTACATTATTATTATACATGTATTATTATTATATGTATTATATTAATATTATTATATTATACTATTATTATTATGTGTATTATTATTTTTTTTTTCAACAAGTTGGCAGTCTCCCACCGAGGCAGGGTGACCCAAAAAAGAAAATACTTTCATCATCATTCAACACTTTCACCACACTCACACATTATCACTGTTTTTGCAGAGGTGCTCAGAATACAACAGTTTAGAAGCATATACGTATAGAGATACACAACATATCCCTCCAAACTGCCAATATCCCAAACCCCTCCTTTAAAGTGCAGGCATTGTGCTTCCCATTTCCAGGACTCAAGTCTGACTATATGAAAATAACCGGTTTCCCTGAATCCCTTCACTAAATATTACCCTGCTCACACTCCAACAGATCGTCAGGTCCCAAGTACCATTCATCTCCATTCACTCCTATCTAACACGCTCACGCACGCTTGCTGGAAGTCGAAGCCCCTCGCCCACAAAACCTCCTTTACCCCCTCTCTCCAACCCTTTCGAGGACGACCCCTACCCCTCCTTCCTTCCCCTATAGATTTATATGCTTTCCATGTCATTCTACTTTGATTCATTCTCTCTAAATGACCAAACCACCTCAACAACCCCTCTTCTGCCCTCTGACTAATACTTTTATTAACTCCACACCTTTTCCTAATTTCCACACTCCGAATTTTCTGCATAATATTTACACCACACATTGCCCTTAGACAGGACATCTCCACTGCCTCCAACCGTCTCCTCGCTGCTGCATTATTATTATTACAATATAAATAATTTATAATTTTTATTCACACAAAAAATAGATTTACTACTATGCAGACTACTGCACTGTAATAATTGTATAAATAATGTCAACCCATTCACGACTGCATATTGGAATGGACAGTGAAGTCATTTCTTTACTCTTAACATTGCCAAAGAATCAAACATTTCTTCTACTTTGAGCTCAATTTCAGGGTACTTTTTGTTGTGAAACCAATCAAAATCATATCTATTTCTGTAATATATCTTCCATTCTATCAAATGAGAGAAAAAAAAAAGAATACAACCATAAAAACCATATGAAAATACTGCTAATGGAAGGCTAATTGCTGAGAAGTGAACTCCATTATTTATGGTCTGATTTCTTTCATTTTTGGTGTACGTTAAGAAGCATCTTTCCATCATACATTACCCAAGTTTCAATAAGATAGTCCAATAAACAAATGAGATCCAATTCCCTAGATCAAGAGTAAGAGCCCCTCACCAGCGTCAAGGAACCTCCCTTGAGACCTGCTCGTTTATGGAAATTTTGCTCGTGTATAGAAGAAAAAAAAAAAAAAAAAAAAAAAAAAAAAAAAAAAAAAAAAAAAGTGACTAATCGACTGCTCATAATTGGAAAAACTCACACATGGATGCACTCGTAAGTGGAGGTTCCACTGTATATACACACCCCTCTGGGTTTTCTTCTATTTTCTTACTAGTTCTTGTTCTGCTTATTTCCTCTTATCTCCATGGGGAAGTGGAACAGAATTCTTCCTCCGTAAGCCATGTGTGTTGCAGGAGGCAACTAACGTGCCAGGAGCACCAGGCTAGTAACCCCTTCTCCTGTATACAGTGGACCCCCGGTTAACGATATTTTTTCATTCCATAAGTATGTTCAGGTGCCAGTACTGACCGAATTTATTCCCATAAGGAATATTGTGAAGTAGATTAGTCCATTTCAGACCCCCAAACATACAAGTACAAACGCACTTACATAAATACACTTACATAATTGGTCGCATTCGGAGGTAATCGTTATGCGGGGGTCCACTGTACATTACTAAAGTTAAAAAGAGAAAGTTTCATTTTTCTTTTTGGGCCATCCTGCTTCAGTGGGATACGGCCGGTTTGTTGAAAGAAGATAATATCACAATTCAAATACCCCTCCTAACTGCAACATTCCTATTCACCTGTTCAGTTGGCAAAAAAATTTCTTTTAACATGCATGTCATACAACAATACTTACACAACATCATTATCATTCATGCTACCCTGTGGCACGGCAGATAGTGACCGTCTGGTATTCTCATAGATGAAACTACTGGAAGCAGTAGATATTGAAGTATCATTTTCACTGTACTCAGTGATATATTTCCTGGGATGGCATTCATCATATGCTGTTGAAGTAGTATACTGTTAGTGATACATAAAATCAATAACCAACTGGCAATTAAGAATCAAATGTCTCTTCTTAAATGGTCACCAGCTTCTGCACTCATACCTTCTCTTTCTAATCACTGTCAATCACATGTACATATACAGTAAGTCAATTAAAACTATTTTTTTTAACTCAATGGCCATTTGCCAAGGCAAGGTGGCCCTAAAGAAGAAAATACAAACATTCACCAACATTTACTAATTTACCATCTTTCCAGAGGCCTGCTGACATTACAACCAGATTACCCTCCAACTACAACATCCTCACCCACTTTCCAGAGTGTGGCCACTGTCCTTCCATGAATCCTTTCATAAATTTTACCTTGCACATACTCCAACAGCACATCCATTAAAAACCACTTGTCTCCATGCACACCTATCTAACATGCTCACACAAGCCTATATTCTATATAATGTAGGACACCATTTTTTTTTACACTGTTGCTATTGTATGAAATTTCTTCTAGGCAACTTTACTGCAAATTTCTATATAGCCACCTGAGATACTCACAACATCTGATGACCTCATCGAATTTATATTCTTCTAAATTACATTCAAGTTGGGTCCATGGATGCGATTCCACTTCCTCCAAGGTCATACGAGCTTTGGCATCTTTCTGAAGCATCCCCGTAAGTAGAGAACACAGAGCTGATGGCAAAGAAACAATAGGTAAATGAACTTACGAACTTAAATATTGTACTTTAAATAGCAAACAACCAGACTATAGAATGTTCTTCCTCCTCTAAGGTAAAACATAAGCCAATATCACTAAGAGTATTCTACATTAATACATCCAAAAATGTACCATTACCCAACCTCAAATTTCATCATGTTGTATATATATTCCAACCCAAAATAAAAAGAATATAATGGGCTCAATAAGAAATCCCTCATTTAACCACTTCTCCAAATTCCTAAAAAATTACTCACATTTTTTTTGTGAATTAATTATTTGCCCATCAAACTGGATCAGCATGTCATACAACTGCTTTCTTTTTCTTTAAACTTGTTGAATTAGTAAAACATGTCTTACAGAAGATATGTAAAGTTAGTAATGAAAAACTTTAGATGACTTACCTTCGGAATGCACAATGGGGAAGGTTATGTCACCTTTGATAGTTTCATCAACATCGTAAAAGGGGTTTTCTCCATACATTAAAGTATAGAGAGTCACACCAAGAGACCAAATTTCTAACTCGTATCCACTGTACCTGTAAGAAAAAAATTATCTTAAAAATTAGAAGAGGCCATCACAATGTCTGGTTAAGAATTATTTCACTGCTATTTATCTTGAACTCAGTGCAAGGTATAATAATTTTCTTAAAGAGGCATCCTATAGGTGCAAATACAGATGAGACTGGTGGCATTCTTATAATTTAATCATATACATCTACCATCCGACTTACGACCAAATTCGGTTCCGAGAAACTGGTCGTTAGTCAAACTTTACAACTGAATATCAACAAAACATTTTTGTAATGACTTTATTTTATTGTTTTATTTTGGTATTTCATGTTTTACTTTACTTTTTATGCTGTTAGTACTGTATTTTATACTGTAAGGTTTAGGATAAACACTGTGTACAACACAAATAGTGGTTTATTTCCCAGAAATTTGGCATAAAAAACGCGGTCATAAGTCGAGTGGTCGCAAGTCGAGCAGGTCGTAAGTCCGATGGTAGGTGTACTATAGTGCAGAATGTTGTAGGATTTTCTATGTGCTTAGTATGATCTATGAAATTTAACATAAAAGTAAAACATTCTTACATTAATAGCACAATAATATACAGCTGATGGCAAAAGCATTATGACACTTCATAAAATTTAAAAAAAGTGACAGATATAGTCAGACACATGAACATTAAAAGAAAAAATTAGGTTGGTATGAATCTAATCAAAAAGCTTGAAATACAGTGTTAACAGAGGCTTGGGTTTAAAAAATTAAGTACAATTATCTAAGCTGTACAGTACTTAGTCATAATTTTATTTTGATCATGGGAATGTGCAAAACCCATAATATTCATAAAACACCTGGGGAATGGAAGGCATTCAGGTTCAATCCAAGGAAGGATAAGAATAAGTCCAGCCCTGAGGATAAAGATTCCTTCAGTGGCATAGAAGCACTTTCTCTGAATTAATCATAAGCAATACATGGAACAAACATGATAAACTTTCATGGGGTCGGTCCTGTAGTACTACGATTTTGATGCCAAGGCTGGTCCCTTAGTCCTATGCCATGATCTCAGCTCACTCAAATAAGCCGAGTGGTAAATTTGGGCATAGATATGAGGGAATAGGTCTGTGCAGTAAGTGTGCACCATATAAGAAAAATCCTGCAGCAAGCAGTGCGTAATAGGGAAAAAAAACGGCGACTATTTTTTTGGTTTGAAACGGCGACTTTGCAGTGTATTCTCGTATGTTTTTATTGTTGTATTTTCAGTTTCTTGGTCTCATTTGATAGAATGGAAGATATATTACAGAAATAGAGACGATTTTGATTGGTTTCTAGACTGAAAGTACCTTGAAATTGAGCTAAAAGGGGCAGATATGTTTGATTTTTGCTGATATTCCAGAGTACACAAATGATGTCACTCACTTAATACCTGTCCAACTGGCCAGTCTATTATGCATTTAGGAATGCAATGACATTATAGATACAATTATTACAATAATGCAGTAATCTGTATAACAGTAAATTTTCTATATTTTGTGCGATTAAAAATTCAAAATGGAAAGCAAGTGTAATATAAGAGGGCCTGGGGACATAACCAGTGAACAGAGGAAATGTTTTTTAAGTGCCATAAATGTCTACATTGTTTATTCTTGACCATATTTTTAAATTGGCAATTTTCAAATTTTGTGTGAAACTGGCCAAATTACCAATTTCTGATCACTTTATTAGATAGTTGAAAAAGGTAAATGGACAGTTTCTTGTACTCAATTAATAGAACAGAAGGAATACTAGCAAAATAGCTCTGAGTTTGGTCAACTGGAACACTGGAATTGGCTGAAAATAGGGCTCAAAGAACACAAAATTACTGATGTGTAAATATTAATATGCCAAGACTGCTAACTTTACAAGAGCATAATTCTGTTAAGTTTTTCATCCAATTTTGTACCTTTGGTTTCATTACCTCTGGAAAAAAGATTCTCTATCATTTTGTAAGAATTTTTTTTATTTTAATTCTCTGACCCCGAGAGCAAGTTTCAGATCAGGGGTCTCGACCCTGAAAGAGTTAAATGACTAAGGGAAGCAATGAAAACAAGATAACAAGATTCCACACACAGGAAAAGATGAACGAGCTATGGCTGGTGTAATACAGCCAATATATTTTTATGTTTCACAGGACTTTCATTTATAAGATTAACAAATTTCATTAAATATAAGTGAAAACTTTGTGTTCCTTGATTTAGCAAAAACACAAAATGCATATTAACTATATAATGCAGCTAGAACTCGTTTATTACTAACTTTTTTTAACACACTGGCCGTTTCTCACCAAGGCAGGGTGACCCAAAAATAAAGAAAAACCCCAACACTTACCATCACTCATACATAAACACTGTCTTTGCAAAAGCACTCAGATATGACAATTGAGTTCTTCATTATCTGCACTTCTTAAATCTCACACAAACTTACTTGTTTCCTTTAAGCACCTCTGGACTACAATACTCCACAGTTCCAGCAAACTGAGAAAACATCTTGCCAGGTTTGGTAAAAGCCGATGAACCGAAGTCGATGAGTTTGACGTGGAACTTATTATTCAGTATCACATTCTCATCTTTCACGTCTCTATGGATGATGTTTAGTGAGTGAAGATAGGTTAGAGCGGAGACAATCTGTTAAGGTAAGAGAAACAGCTGGATTTAAATAATTTATGCATATATTAGTGCATTATATACTAGGAATTGTCTAATGGGCTGGCAGTTATGTAATGAACAATTCGTCAGAGGCAACTGGTATGGCAGTTGTTTGGTGGCTGCTGAATTCTAAATTGCAAGCATCAATAGTCTAACTGGTAAGGTTATCAACCAAGATGCCTAGTCAGTGGTTAGGATGCAAGAGCTAATGGTACCTGGAACGAGATAAGTACCAAGAGGCTCAATCCACGTACATATTTAAAATTAAATAAAGTATGAAAGACCTACAATATATCCGACAATTTGAAGTTAAAAGAGGACCTGGAGCCCAACCTTTCCAAACTGAGCTACATATGTATGCATATATACACACAGAGATGTCATAAGAACATAAGAACGAAGGAACACTGCAGAAGGCCTACTGGCCCATGCGAGGCAGGTCCAAGTCTCCTACCGGCTTAAGCCAATGCACCCAACCTAGTCAGGTCAGGTCACATTGACTTAAGGGAGGAACACGGCAACCGACCTGGTAGCACAAGCTATCAGGTCCAACTCACACCCACCCACATCCACTCATGTATTTATCCAACCTATTTTTAAAGCTACACAACGTTCTGGCCTCTATAACTGTACTCGGGAGTTTGTTCCACTCATCCACAACTCTATTACCAAACCAGTACTTTCCTATATCCTTCCTGAATCTGAATTTTTCCAACTTAAAACCATTGCTGCGAGTCCTGTCTAGGCTAGATATTTTCAGCACACTATTTACATCCCCTTTATTTATTCCTGTCTTCCATTTATACACCTCAATCATATCCCCCCTAATTCTACGTCTTTCTAGAGAGTGCAGATTCAGGACCCTTAGTCTATCATCATAGGGAAGGTTTCTGATACATGGGATCAACTTTGTCATCCTCCTTTGTACATTTTCCAGAGAATTTATATCCATCCTGTAATACAGTGACCAAAACTGTGCAGCATAATCTAAATGAGGCCTAACCAAGGATGTATAGAGTTGAAGAACAACCTGAGGACTCCTATTATTTATGCTTCTTGATATGAAGCCAAGGATTCTATTAGCTTTATTGCGAACACTTATGCACTGTTGTCTTGGTTTCAGATTACTGCTAACCAGAACTCCTAAATCTTTTTCGCAATCCGTAATATTAAGATCTACATTATTTAGTTTATATGTGGCATGGTTATTGTCCTGTCCAACATTTAGAACTTTGCATTTGTCTATATTAAACTGCATCTGCCACTTCTCCGACCACTGCATCAGTCTATTCAAATCTTCCTGGAGTGCTCGAATGTCCTCGTCAGAATGAATTCGACGGCCTATTTTGGTGTCATCGGCAAACTTGCCGATGTCGCTCTTTATGCCCTCATCTATGTCGTTTATGTAGATTGTGAACAGCAGGGGGCCCAACACTGACCCCTGTGGAACACCGCTCGTAACGCTTCCCCACTCTGATTTCTCCCCATTTATGCAAACTCTCTGCTGCCTATTTGTCAACCATGCCTCTATCCAGGAAAAAATTTCTCCTCCTATTCCATGTGCTTTAATTTTCCTCAATAGTCTCTGATGTGGGACCCTGTCAAAGGCCTTACTGAAGTCCATATACACAATATCATATTCATTACCATGATCTACCTCCTCAAATACCTTAGTGAAAAAAGTTAATAAATTCGTAAGGCAGGAACGCCCCTTTGTAAAACCATGCTGAGATTCATTGATTAATTTATGCTTTTCAAGGTGGCTACGAACTGCCTCGGCAATTATTGATTCCATAAATTTTCCCACTATGGAGGTTAGGCTTATTGGTCTATAGTTCGAAGCTAAGGACCTGTCACCTGTTTTGAAAATAGGTATCACATTTGCCATTTTCCACTTATCTGGCACCATGCCAGTTTGTAGTGATATGTTGAAAAGATTAGCCAAAGGTGTGCTAAGCTCTCTTTACATTCCTTTAGAACCCTTGCATACAGTTCATCAGGGCCTGGGGATTTGTTAGGTTTTAATTTATCTATTTGCCTAAGGACCATGTCACTTGTGACCCTAATCGTGCACAGTTTATTATCGTCCTGTTCTACATAATTTATCATTACTGGAATATCGCTGGTATCTCCTGTGTAAAAACTGAGAGGAAGTATGTGTTAAAAAATTCTACACATTTCCTTATCACTGTCAGTGAGCTGACCCGAGGAACTTTTGAGTGGGCCTATCTGTCCCTGATCTTACTTCTGTATACCTGAAAGAATCCTTTTGGGTTAGTCTTCAATTCTCTTGCAACTTTAACCTCATAATCTCTTTTTGCTTTTCTAATTCCCTTTTTTATTTCTCTCTTTAACTGAATATATCGATTTCTTAATTGCCCCTCTCCTCTTTTGATTTGCCTATATATGCCTCTCTTTTGACCAATCAGATATTTTAATCTATTGTTCATCCATTTAGGATCATTTTTGTTTGATCTGATTTCCCTATTTGGAACATAATTTGACTGAGCAGCTAGAACTATGCCCTGGAAAGCATCATATCGGCAACCATCACCACCTACCTGACCCTTAGTCAGGTCATTCCAGTTCAGCCCACCTAAGTAATTTTTCAGTCCTATGAAATCAGCCAAGCGAAAGTCAGGGACGGAGACTTGATTGCCATTATTAGGGGAATTCCATGCCTGAGAGCAATGTGTAGTGTGAATATCATGTAGAGAATCTGGAAAACAGAAATTAATAGACAAAGTAGGGTGGCCATGGATATAATTCAGAGTAATAGGAAGGAGTTGAAGTGATTTGGGTATGTGGAGAGGATGGAGAGAGAGATAGGTTGATAAAGTGGATGTATAAATTTGGGGTGGAAGGTAGGAGGAAGAGAGGTTGTCCCAGCAATGGCTGGAGGGAAGGGGTACAAGAGACTTTAACATCCAGCAGATTTGTGCAAATGTGTTATACAGGAATGAATGGAAACATGAGGTTTTTAATGGATGTGTTGTTGAGTATGAGTAAGGTGGCTTTTATGAAGGGATTCAGGATAAGCAGTTAGCCATGAGTGAGTCTGGAAATAGGAGATGCAATGCCTGCACTCTGAAGGAGGGGTTGGGATACTGCAATCATGAAGGTGATCTAACTGTGATGGCAGTACACTTATAGGAAGAAGGCAACCAAGTGAATGTTGGTCTTACCTTCCAGCAAGGAAGAGTGAAGAGAGAGGCTATGTTACATACCTGTCTGAAGATATGAGCTGCAAGAGGTTCTTCAAGAATTGGATTACGGTCGATAAATTCAAACAGGTCCATACCTGCACCCCATTTCTCCATTACAAGTTGGAAATAGTCATCATTTTCAAACATATCAAGCACAGAAACCTGCAACATAATTTAACAAATTACACCTAAAGCACTACTACACTGCACTCCTATTTGAGGATGATCCAAACATCACATTTTCTATACACTTTTATCTATGTACAAGATTTTTTATAAAACTGGCACTCCAACAATGGAACACTTTACAATCATAAGTGATATTAGAAAAATAATTAGTAAGAAATTTACTAATCTTCCCATGAAATTCAAATGAAAGGAACATATCACCATCATTTGCAATACCTGACCAGCCGGGCTGTGGCTCGTACGTTGGTTTGCATGCAGCCAGCAGCAACAGCCTGGTTGATCAGGCTCTGATCCACCAGGAGGCCTGGTCACAGACCGGGCCGCGGGGGCGTTGACCCCCAGAACTCTCTCCAGGTAAACTCCAGGTAATACCTCAAAGTTAGACATACAGTAGGGCCCCACTTTTATGGTAGGTTAGGTTCCAGGCTGCCGCTGCAAAGCAGATATTGCTGGAATGCAGAACGCCATTTTCTATACAAGTCTCCCTCAACATTCACGTTTTCAGCTTTTGGGGGCTTCACACATTCGCGAATTCCCAACCGCCAAATTCCCAGCCACCAAGTTCCCAGCCGCCAAATCATATTCAAGTTTCCCGCCACCTGCGAGTCCCTACTACCCTCCCACCGACCCCCGCAACTGGCAGCCAGCCCTCCCACCACTCAGCGTGGTGAGTGTTTTGTTTGTTCATTATTTGCTATTAAACTACAGTATAAATAATGTAAACCCATTCATGACTGCATATTGGAATGGCTATTCGGACAGGTATTAGACGGTGACATCATGTGTTTACTCTTGAACACAGCAAAGAATCAAATATTTCTGCTACTGCTAATAATAACAATAGTAATAATAATAATAATAATAATAATAATAATAATAATAATAATAATAATAATAATAAATACGATATAATTGAAGAAGGAAGTTGTACAAAAATACAAGGGAGTGGTTGACACATCGTCAGTGTGGCTTTGTTTATGCTGGAGTGAGCATTAGTCTCCGTGCTCTTCCAAACATTTCACAATAATTCATTGTGTTTGGTGCTTGTAGATTGAGTGCGACTGGAGTGGTTGAGGCAGCGATTGAGGCAGCTGTTGAGGCAGTGGTTGAGGCAGCGATTGAGGCAGTGGTTGAGGCAGCGATTGAGGCAGTGGCTGAGGCAGTGGTTGAGGCAGCGATTGAGGCAGTGGTTGAGGCAGCTGTTGAGGCAGCGATTGAGGCAGTGGGTGAGACAGCTGTTGAGGCAGTGGGTGAGGCAGCTGTTGAGGCAGTGATTGAGGCAGTGGGTGAGGCAGCTGTTGAGGTAGCGATTGAGGCAGTGGGTGAGGCAGCTGTTGAGGCAGCGATTGAGGCAGTGGTTGAGGCAGCTGTTGAGGCAGCTATTGAGGCAGTGGTATTTAATAACATACATGTTATTAATAATAATAATACATGTTATTAATAATATGTACTATTATTATTTATAACATATATGTTATTAAATACCACTGCCTCAACTGCTGAATTATTGTGAAATGTTTGGAAGAGCAGGGAGACTAATGCTCACTCCAGCATAAACAAAGCCACACTGACGATGTTTCAACCACTCCCTCATATTTTTGTACAATTTCCTTCTTCAATTATATAGTATTATTATTATTATTACTATTGTTATTATTAGCAGTAGCAGAAATGTTTGATTCTTTGCTGTGTTCAAGAGTAAACACATGATGTCACCGTCCAATACCTGTCCGAATAGCCATTCCAATATGCAGTCATGAATGGGTTTACATTATTTATACTGTAGTTTAATAGCAAATAATGAACAAACAAAACACTCACCACACTGAGTGGTGGGAGGGCTGGCTGCCAGTTGCGGGGGTCAGAGGAAGGGTAGTAGGGACTCGCAGTGGTTGAGGAAGTGGTGGAGGCATTGGCGGAGGCAGTGGTGGAGTCTGTGGTATTTAATAGCATACATGTTATTTAGTACAATTTAGTACAATTTACGACGTTTTCATGTATTTTATGATTGTTCATGGTTCAACAAGTTAAGGAAGCAGTATTGCATTATATTTCCCTACAATATATTGGGGCACCAAACATTCACGGTTTTTCAACATTCACGAAGCTCTTGATCCCCTAACCCTCGTTAATATTGAGGGAGACCTGTACTTATGAATGCATATAAATTCCAGATAACAGGTTTACACTAACATATATTAAGTTAGCAATAGAACTAGGCATTTAAAAATAATAAAAAGTAATATACACAGTACACTCATTATTTACCTCAAAATATTTATAGTCTTTATATAGGGCAAAAGGTGAGTAGTATTTACTATAAGAAGTCAAGTGTGGTAGGTACGGTAGCCCTCCAGGTCACCCCACCCACACATACTATACTGCGATGTTTAAAGTGTCCTAGAGTGACAAAATGCATATACAGTACACTCATTATTTACCTTAAAATATTTGTAGTCTTAATGGTCTTAATGTAGGGTGAGAGGTGAAAGTATTTATTTGTAGTAAGTTGTGTGGGAGGTATGGTAGCCCGCCTGGCCACCCCACATTTAAAGCGCATATACAGTACACTCATTACTTCTTTCTTTCTTTCAATGCACCAGCCGTATCCCACTGAGGTGGGTGGCCCAAAAGGAAAAATTTAGTAATATATACAGGAAAAGGGGTTACTAGCCCATTGCTCCCGGCATTTTAGTTGCCTCTTACAACACGCATGGCTTACGGAGGAAGAATTCTGTTCCACTTCCCCATGGAGATAAAAGGAAATAGACAAGAACAGGAACTAGAAAGAAAATAGAAGAAAACCCAGAGGGGTATGTATATATATGCATGTACATGTATGTGTAGTGTGACCTAAGTGTAAGTAGAAGTAGCAAGACATACCTGAAATCTTGCATGTTTATAAAACAGAAAAAAGGACACCAGCAATCCTACCATCATGTAAAACAATTACAGGCTTTCGTTTTACACTCACTTGGTAGGATGGTAGTACTTCCCAGGGCAGTTGCTGTCTACCAACCTACTACCTAGGACTCATTACTTATCTTAAAATATTTGTAGTCAATGTAGGGTGAGAGGTGAGTAAGCGAGATAAAAACGAATAAACAAGAGAGAGAGAACCAGTAAGAAGACAGAGCCGCACACTACTATGTAAACAAATGTGTCTGGTTATGGTTGATACACGTTCATACAAACACCTTACATTGTGTACAAGCTGTCTCCACAGTGGTACAGAAGAATAAATAAAGACCAACATTTCCATTCTTGTGTAACATCATTTTTAGCAGGAATGATGCTCTGACAAGTTATTATTATTATTACAAATTATTATTATTTTTTTATTAACACATTGGCCAATTCCCACCAAGGCAGGGTGGCCCGAAAAAAAAAACTTTCGTCATCATTCACTCCATCACTGTCTTGCTAGAGGGGTGCTTTACATTAGTTATAAAACTGCAACATTAACACCCCTCCTCCAGAGTGCAGACACTGTACTTCCCATCTCCAGGACTCAGGTCCGGCCTGCCGGTTTCCCTGAATCTCTTCATAAATGTTGCTTTGCTCACACTCCAACAACACGTCACGTATTTAAAAACATTTGTCTCCATTCACTCCTATCAAATACGCTCACGCATGCTTGCTGGAAGTCCAAACCGCTCACACACAAAACCTCCTTTACCCCCTCCCTCCAACCTTTCCTAGGCCGACCTCTACCCCGCCTTCCCTCCACTACAGATTTATACACTCGAAATCTTTGTTTTGTTTCATTCTCTCTGCACGTCCGAACCACCTCAACAACCCCTCCTAAGCCCTCTGGATACCAGTTTTGGTAATCTCACACCTACTCCTAATTTCCAAACTACGAATTCTCTGCATTATATTCACACCACACATTGCCCTCAGACATGACATCTCCACTGCCTCCAGCCTTCTCCTCATTGTAACATTCATCACCCATGCTTCACACCCATATCAGAGTGTTGGCATAACTACTCTCATACATTCCCCTCTCTGCTTCCACAAAGTTCTTTGTCTCCACATACTCCTAAGTGCACCACTCACCCTCTTTCCCTCACCAATTCTATGATTTACCTCATCCTTCATAGACCCATCTGCTGACACATCCACTCCTAAATATCTGACTACATTCACCTCCTCCATACTCTCTCCCTCCAATCTGATACCCAATCATTCGTCACCTAATCTTTTTGTTATCCTCATCACCTTATTCTTTCCTATATTCACTTTTAATTTTCTTCTTTTACATACCCTACCAAATTCATCCACCAACCTCTGCAACTTCTCTTCAGAATCTCCCAAAAGCACAGTGTCATCAGCAAAGAGCAACTGTGACAATTCCCACTTTGTGTTTGATTCTTTATCTTTTAACTCCACACCTCTTGCCAAGACCCTTGCATTTACTTCTCTTACAACCCCATCTATAAATATATTGAGCAACCACAGTGACATCACACCCCCTTGTCTAAGGCCTACTTTTATTGGGAAATAATCTCCCTCTCTCGTACATACTCTACCCTGAGCCTCAATATCCTCATAAAAACTCTTCACTGCTTTCAGTAACCTACCTCCTATACCATACACCTGCAACATCTGCCACACTGCCCCCCTACCCACCCTGTCATACACCTTTTCCAAATCCATAAATGCCACAAAAACATATAGGTGAACAGTATTTAGATAAGGCTTTAGCCTTATCTAAATACTGTTCACCTATATGTTTCACTGTAAACACTTGGTCTACACACCCCCCACCTTTCCTAAAGCCTCCTTGTTCATCTGCTATCCTATTCTCCATCTTACTTTTAATTCTTTCAATAGTAACTCTACAATACACTTTACCAGGTATACTCAAAAGACTTATTCCCCTATAATTTTTGCACTCTCTTTTGTTCCCTTTGCCTTTATACAAAGGAACTATGCACGCTCTCTGCCAATCCCTAGGTACCTTACCC